TGCTAAGTATGGGTGACATTGAATCACCCGTTATAAAGATATTTGAGGATAAGTTGCACCACGAACGGTTGACCGCAGACAATTATCTTTACAACGGGTAAATCAATGTCACCCATACTTCACACAGTAGTTTGTCTCAATTTTTCTTAACCGTATCTTAATTTTCCACGACAACTGAGGCTAGATTAAAAACTTTTCTTCATAAATCTAGATCTATATAAAAAGAATTTATTACATGAGTTGTGGTGGTAGATCATGATTTGTCCTACGAGTGGATTTGATGACCACTTGTTAAAATAAAACACATAATTCATTGATATCGTCTGCTGTGCGTCGCTTAAACAGTATGTCTAGATTACGCACCGCTGATCACAACAAGGCCTCGTATCGTCCCTCTGAAATCAGGAACGTGACTGGGAAGCTGCTAGAAGCTTCAGCTGCAACTCTAGTACACCTTCAAGGCTAGCTGAACGTAAAAAACCCACTGTTGGTGTTGTTGAGATGAGAGAATATAAAAGTAGCCAACCAGGTGTAACTACCCATCAATAAGACTGGCGTAATATTCTGTTTTATTTGCGGAACCGATGCCAAACAGAATGTGAAACAGCAGAAGCAGCAGCAGGGGTTCAAGGAAGATGAGGTGCTGTGTAGCCAAACACCATTGCCAATCAACGCCAGTTTTAACAAATATTATTAACGTTTAAGATAAACCGGCTATTTATCTAAGTGTTGCATTTTGAAATGTTGTCAATCTATAATTATTTGTGCCGCTCTTTGGTGTGCGTACAGGATCCGTACAATGAGTGATTTACAGTATCCCAGCCTACAATTAATTGCTCAATTTGATACAATGACGAATTAATATATCAAATAATAAACCCAGTCTTAACCCCATTCATACTCCATGAAGACCTAGGCTTTGTAGCAGTAGAAGGAGAGTGTAGACAACCTAGCATAAAAGCAATAGGCCTACATTTTGTAAGTATGAAATTGTCCTTTTTCTTAACACACTCAGTTACTCGCTTTGTCTCCCTCCGCCCCTCCCCCTCCCCACCCGGAAAAAAAAACAATACCTCATAGTGTACCTCTCTGTTAATTTGCAGCCCAGATTTAAGTGCATTTATGTTTTCCAAAATCGGTTAACAGGTGTCGTATTGTGAATGCGTGTTTAAATAACAACAGCAAACAAAAAGAAAACTTTCAATAAAACTGAACTGAGCTTCAAACTCTATGAAGACCTAGGCTTTGCGAGAGACGCACAACGTGACAGCACTGTTTCTCGTCCTCTCAAAAATAGCGACGAAGCGAGCTGAGTGGGCCCACACAGCCATAGTGAGTTTTCGTGGTTGACGTCACAGATGCGACCTCTAGTACTATTATATTATATCTTTGGGTTGTTAGCGCTTTAGTTTTCTGGGTGATATCACTGGTATATTATATTCTAGAATGATGGAGAAGAGATAGCCGACCTGAAAGCTAAGCTCTGTCAGGTTTTAACTCATAGCACATTATTTTTTTAATTTCTTAAATCCCTGTGCACTGTGGGTCTGATCCTCTTTATGTTGAGGGCGATTTAATTGAGAACACGGATACCGATCAATGACCACGTGAAAACATGCTATTTTGGGGTCCTCAAAGAACAGAAAGCACAACTTTTTATTCATACACGTTCATCAAATCTGTTTTCTCTATCTATGATTTGAAAAGGCAGGTAGCAATACGCTTAAAGTTCTAACTGCTCAGTGCTTATTACATAGTTAGTTTTTGAGAAATTTTACGTCAAAAATTTTGAATTTCACAACAAGTCAAACTTTTTAGAAATTCAATTCTTTGAATATCCTGACAACGACTCTGAATAATCTTACGATTTTGATAGAGGAGATAGAACATTTGATTTCTGACCTCATGCCGTATTGTCACAGTAATTGAAAACGGCCACAATGTCTGATAAAACGTGGTAATTCTAAGGCAGAGAATACAAATACTATGGAATATACCAAATTAAATTTGTGCTTTGGGAATGTTTGTGATGGTTTGGAAGATGTCAAAATAAATGCAATTTGTCTGGTGCTGATTGGGCATGCTGTGTGTCTGTCATGTCCAGAGTTGAAAGGCTATGTAAAAGGGAATATTTGGAATAATTTTCTTTAGTCAGAACACAACGTTTTATGCTACTGTTGTATGTTGTACAGTATTGTAAAGCGCTCAGAGCCAGTGTACTTTCTTCGGGGTTGAGCGCTATATAAATGTCGTTTATTATTATAAGGGCCAAGTTTTTAATTTTTTTAAAACGATTGATGACTTGTGTGTGTACTCCAATAGCCGCCAGGCGCTGCCTCCAGATGTCTTGACTGCCCCTATAAGAACAGCTGTCTGTACTCTTCTAAGCGGTTTTATCTTGATTTAGTGGAACAGGTGAGGTATCAAAATTCAAATAATAATTCACTTCACAGTCATTGTAACCACTATATCAATTTTATCATCAAGGGATACTCTCCTCGGTTTTTTTTTTTTGTGAGGGGATTTCTTTTCATGAGAAGAATTTTATAATGAAATTTTATCTCCCGGAAATTTGCTGTGGTAATAAACTGCTCTCAAACAAACAATTTTTGAAAAAGAATGTGTAGTACATGTATCTGTTTTATGAGAGTTCACTTAATTGTTAGGCAGCAACTATTGTTCTTGTTCTTGCTTTTGTTGTTGGTGGTGTTGTTGTTGTTGTTGTCGTCATCATCGTCGTCGTTGTCGTCGCTGTTTGTTTGTTTTGGTTTTTGTGGGGGGTTTTAGGAGAGAGGGAAAACACTGTCCTATTCTTTTCACAATAATTGTAGGCTACTTTCATTATGTAATTGTTCTTGTTTTTTTGGTTTTATTTTTCTCAACATTACATTAACTTTTAAATTTTTAACAACAAAAAATTTCTTGTGCACATGCAACTGATACAACACATTAAAAAACTGTAATTTTTAGAATTGAGAATGTTGAGCTAAATACATCTGAAATGCAGCCCTACGACATGATAGAGGTGGTTTGTTTGTTTTAGTTGGGTTTTTTAAAACATTTTTTTTGTCGTCAAGAAAAAAAGGTTCATTATTACACCAACCCTCAAATCAAACAAATTAGCAAACGAACAAACGAGAACTTGTAAAGTTGTTGTTGTTGTTGTTGTTGTTGCTGCTGTTGCTGTTGTTGTTGTTGTTGTTGCTGTTGTTGTTGTTGTTGTTGTTGTTGTTGTTGTTGTTGTTGCTGCTGTTGTCGTTGTTGTTGTTGTTGTTGTTGTTGTTGTTTTGTTTTGTTTTGGGTTGGGTTTTTTGTATTACCCTGTAAAACAACGTTCCAAGCTGAAAAAACAATAACAAGTGACAACTTGTCAATGACTGTGATCAGTTCTTCCTCCACTTTGTTTTTTGTTGTGGTTTTTTTAACGTGGCAGATTGCTTGACAAATTAGATGCCCAATATCCCTCCTTCTACAGATAACATGAAATAAAATCAGATAACATTATTTTGACCAGATGCTGGTACATTAATTTGGTGTTTAACCACACACACACACACACACACACACACACACACACACACACACACACACACACACACACACACACACACACACACACACACACAAACACCTACGCACATACCCACATACCCACATGCACACGAGCACGCACACATACACACATACTCTCTCACACATCCTGTACACATCCACACATGGTATAGTATTATGGGAACCCTAATATTATACTTGCACTCACAATTTATAGACCCACAGTCGCACGCATAATGAAATGAACAATCATAAAAAATGTTTCAGTTAGATGACTATTCAGTTTTATTACTGGTATCAAGCAGCTCTTCTTTTTGTATCAACTTCCCTTGATGTTTTGGCAACTATTTTAACTTGACTCTGTAATCATTTCCTCGGAAGCAGGTGGTTGACGGTTTCTCATGTGATTGCTCTTTTTTCCTACTCAACAAAGTCTAAAGTCCTTTAGTTTAATTTTAGTAAGAGTTTTACGGCACTTGCAACACAATTAGGTCATGTAAGGTCCGAATGTTAGAGGCTTTACGAGAGAGTAACAAGTGCAAATCGCTCTTCCTTCTTTTCTTTGTGTGTCGCTCTCTAGTAATGCCTCGCTCTAATCTTCGGCATTTTTTATGATCTACTTGCGTTGCAAGTGCCGTAAAACTCTTACTAAAGCTTAACCTCCTCAGGGTCACACTGGATACCCATTGGGTACACTTACCTGTGAGGTGGACATAGAGAACGTGACAGACGCCTTACGCACTGGACCCTATGGTAGATGCGTGTATGATGCAGATAATGACGTCATGTCCCACCAGGTCAGTGCTTTGACAAGTACAGTGGAACCTGCCTTTTAACAGAAGCAAGTGTAAGATGGAAACCTGTCATAAAGGAATATCCCTGCCCCCCCCCCCCTTGATAAATTCCTCTATAATCTAATTACCTCTATAGAATGAAAAGCAATCTTATGCAGAAACGGAAAGAGTTAATATTCCTTCCCTTCAGAGGGTTTTTACCTGTCTAAGACGGAAAATGCCTTGTCTACTCAGCCCTGATTTGAAACGAAACTTTCAAGTTTGGTTCCATCGGCTCTAACCGTTAGACCATACTGCAAGGCGGAGAAGGGGCGTAGGAGCGCATTAGGGCTAGATAAGCTCGCCTCGATGCTACATGCTACCCCATTCCTGTGAGCCCTGAGAAGTGCAGATAGTCGGGGGAGGGCACGGGCGTGAAATCTCACCAGTGTCAGTAAATGGGCTCGAGTGGCGCTCCAGCTCGGGAACTTCAATAATGGGTAGCCTCAGGCCAGAGGTGAGAAATTAGTTTGACCAGTTCCTCGAATCGTTCTTACATGCATGGGAGGGATGGCATTGGTTGACTGTGCTTATTTATTGCTCCTGTGGGTGGAGCTAAGGGTAGAAGCAAAGGAGGTTCAAACGGACATGTTTTTCATAGGTCAAAGTCAAACAGTGGTCCTATGAAGGCAAGCAGTGGTAGTCAATGGATAAGTAGTAGGACTCTGACGCATGCCATTATCAGAGAGGATAGCACTAATTGAGAGTTTCACACTGTGTTAGTGTGTTTGAATAAAGGGAGCAAAATGGGTTTTCGTTCTGTAAAAAAGATGAACAAGTTGGTAACATGCTACAGGCAGATAATAGCATATTATGCTATTTAAAAAGGAGGATTGACTTTCCATCCATTCAACAAGCGTTATTGCACTAAAGAACAAGAAAATGAGAGTTTTGATTGCCGACGGACAAGAGGCCCTTGGTCCCTCCAGCTGGGCCTCTGAACCCCC